TGCAAAATACATAAAACCCCGCAAGAAAAGAGTGAGCAAAGCTACCAGCACAGACAGGGGTGAGCACGCTGGTGAGACCGAGGGGTAGGGCTTTGCTCCTCCGAGCTTGTGGGCAGTGGCGGGGCCCTCCGCCGCCCGCGCAGGCTGTCTGCCTGCAGCCCTGCGACGCCCAGCTGCCTGCGTGCCCACTGCTACCAGTGCAGCGGCCATCTGTATGAATATCCATGCGTGTACGTAGGCATGTACACACACAAGGCCATACATATTTATTTAAAGAGGGAATCAAGCCACAAATCACTTCAACGTTTCTAGAAAGACTTAACTGATTTCATTATTTTCAATCACTAATTTAACAGAACTAAACCAAAACCATCTAACTGCTCTGTGCCCTCTGCCCATTTCAACTGTTAAAGACCTACAACTTAATTAAATATGTGCTGTTTTTTTCAAATGTCTGTGTTTTCAGTGTTTTGGACCACAACATAGGTTTCCTGAGGTTTTCAAGTGAGGGAGAGCACAGAATGAGGGAAGTGCTATTCAGAGGGTCCATCCCCTCTATCACTCAGTTCGATGATAATGCAGGGCACAAGACCACACCTAAAACGAGCAAGATCAGGTTTTATTTTTGCCTTGACAACATTTTCTCTCTGTAAACACATGGATAAGAAATCAACACAAGACTTAATTCTTGCAAAGTGCCCCTAAATTTCAGCACCGAGAAACAGCAGACTGCAGCACAGGTGCTGTAAAGAACTACAGCTGAATCTGTGCAAACCTCTCCTTTTGATTTTCAGTGTTGTTTTGGTACCTGAACGGTATGTCTGGCTGTACCCAACTAAATGATGATCCTCTTCCTTCCTACTGTAGAACTGGATTCTGCACTATTAACAAGAGAGGCATTTCTTTCTCTGACTTAAAAGTGGAACGCAATTCATTTTCAAAAATCACACATTGCCCACCTCTTACTTGCCAGCACATGAGCCAGGAGGTGAAGGTGGAGCAGCTCAGGAGGACAGGAGGCTTGGATGGAAGCAATGAAGTATGAGGAACCCTGATGCTCAGTGTCAAGCACCTCTGAATGTCAATGAGAGCTGACGACTGGCAAGCTTCAGAGGAAAAGCTGCTCCATAATTATAGTAAAAGCTTGATTCTTGTGGTATCCTTGCAGCAGACTAGAGTCATGGCACAACAAATGCCTTTGCAAAAAAATTTTAACAAGTTAAGAAAATGCAGAAGCATTTGTATACACTGAGATAACAAACATCACCTAACTCTGCTCAGCTTTTTATTACTGGCTTCTGTTCCACTGTGCAATTCTAACCTATGATCTAGAACAGGCTCCACTTACAGTGACCCCCACCAGACCTGCTCAGAGCGGTGGGCAAAATGCAAACAGCAGTGGGCAATACTCCGGGCATTGCAATGAACAGGTTCGGCTCCTTCCTCTCGCCCCGGTCCTGATCTGCCCGGGCAGACTGAAACCGAATTGGGAGTTTTAACACGAAGTCGCATGGGTGCAGCACCCCACCACAGGGGAAAATACGAGCTGGAAGTGAGTAATGTCAGTACGTTTGGCTGATTTCGACAGAGCAAGGAGCCACCACTCTCTCCACCATCTCAGTATAAACACTAGGTTTTTTAGGACTAAAGTAACCTGCGGTGTTTTATCTTTTGTTTTCTATTTTTCAGAGTTCCATTTTTTGCTAACTCTCCCTTCTTCACCCTTTCAGAGGCTCGATATATTCACAACCTGGCAATACGGCAGCAACGAGCAGAACTAGAGTTTACAGAACTGGCCTACCATCGTAACCAGGGAGAAGTTAACTTCACCAGCCTGCTGTGGTCACCTAGGTGTAAAGACGCCACCGACGCACAGCTAGAGATGTGGAAACACCTCACTGCCTGCACAGCAGTTTAAAGGTGGCCAGGCAAGTCAGGATACTCGAAATTGCTTTAGCTCCACAAATAAATATGCAAAAGCAGGCGACATTTGCAGGTGAGCCAAAAGAGAAAGCCTTTCCAGTCATTTAGCATGGGATATTTGTTTCTTCTTATTACATCATAACCCCACATTAGTCTGACTTAGCATCGGTTTACAGGAAGTCTAAGTTAAGAATGATGAGACATCCATATCTTTTGTTTCATCTATGTCATTACACAACACAAGGGGAAAAAATGCAACACAACTTTAAAGGCCCTATAGAACAGTAACAGAAGTTTCAAACTGTGCGTGACATCTGTTAGCCAGTGGCATTTCTGCACGTCCCAACAATGAGTTACCATACTTAATAAAAGGAACCACATAAATCTCTTTTATCACAGAAAGAAGAGCAAAACTCTTGACGTTGTTCGGTTTGCTTAGTTTTCATGTGTTGATCAAAATGCATTTTATGCTTTTATTTTAAATTTAAGCTACTATTTTTTTTTAAGTTAGGTTTTTGTTGGTTTTTTTTAGTCCAAAACCAACAAAATAACATGGCCACAAAGCAATAAAACCCCCCTGAATACTTGAAGGACTTAAGTCGAATTCGTTATTCTGCAGAATAAGAATCTGATTTACGAAGAGATTAACTAGGCACTGTTCTAAGCAGCAAGAATGAAAACTCAATGTATAACGCCAAGCAGTCTGCTCAGGTTTCTAAGAAAACAAAGAAAATAAAACAGGGACACCACCTTAGATTACTATATACAACCACTTGAACATTACTACAATGTAAACATAATTTAAAAAGTAAATCATCATTGAATGCATTTATTAACATTGTATTTAAAATATTTAATTTCCAGTTTCTTCCAGATAACTCCTCTTACTCAAATATAAATTGATAACCTCCTAAGATAACAGAATGCTAGTTTTATGAGGCAGTTAAACATTTGTATCATTTTTTTCCTACAAAGAGTGCAGAAAGATTCACTACAATGTGGAATTCTTCTTAGCAGGTGTATTTTTTGCCAGTGGTCTATCTCAAGGAAAATATCACAAGCTTTTAGAAATATCAGGAAGTATCTTTTATGGCAATTTCATTTTTAGACCTGAATCAAATATACATCAGAAACTTGTAGAAATTTGATTTGGAAGGAAAAATAAAGCTAATACTAAGTCGATCTGTTGTGTATTCATTTTGAATGAGCCAGGTTCTTTCAGTTTACAGACCATTTTGCATGTCAAAGAAATTATTAGGATCAAAAGAAACTTAACTATAAACATCGCACCCCAACTGTTTCCAATCTGAGCTTCAGAGAACTTTACAGACACAGATCTGAATGCCATAAAGCACAGAGCAGAAGAGAAGCCAAGCCAAACTAAAACAAACATTTTCTTCAAAAGAATTCAATATTTGCATTTTTTAGGCTGGCAAATTTTGAAGTTCAAGATTCTATCTTTGCATCAACATCTTAAACAATTTATGGGCTGGCATGACTAGATGAAGACTGCAACTCCCAGGGTGCATGAAAGGGAAGTGATGTTTCTCAACTATAAATGCTGCTACGTAGCTTTGCCTATAAAGCAGTAAGCTAATACCTCTAGCTTCTCATTGTGGATATTTGCCTGTTGCCTGTCCATTCTTTTGAAGAAATACTGAATATTTTAATACCGCTCTTAAGAGGCAGTAACATCATGCAGTGCAAGCTATACACTGCTTCTGCCATAGTCAAAACTGCACAGCAGGCTTTGCCGATGGCCTCATATACCAGGAAAACAGAAATCTCTGAAGGATGTAATACAACCACTGCTAAGCCATCAAAACATTCTACAGCCTATGCCCAAAAGTTCAGGTTTTGGTGGGGATATACACATCAATCAAAACAGTTAATATATGGCAGCTTTGGATTTAGTAACTGTCACCTCCATGGCAGCATTGATCTTAACAGCAATGTACTGAATTTAATTTTAACCAAAATCCCTCGTCTTCCTCTTCTTAAAGTGCACTTCTGTAAAAACTGAAAATCTTCAGCAGACTCAAGTTTGATAATCGTTTCCAACAACAGCTTCATAACAGCACAGCACAAAGCTTATTCTTCCAATGCTTACTGGAGAATGAATCTGAAGATGTGGTGTTTTTCTTGAAAAAAAAAAAAACCCGAAACAAAGTAAGCCCAGTCTCCTTTCAAAACACATGAAAAAGAAAGTGGAGTGTGCTATAAGAAAGTTGCCTACACACTGGGAGCACAATGAAATTTATACAGATCTATATGCTGTGCTCGCGTTAGAAATTCATCCTTGCTCAGACATCTAAAGGATAAATGTTATCCTCAGATTTCTGTGTAAACCCACATAATCATTTAAGGCTTTGCCTCCTTCCTGGATTAACTACTGTACAGTTAACAGAAAGAGTTTCACCTCCTGTCTTTTACCCAGGGGGAATATTGACTCTCCTGTCTTTATCTCCAGTGTATAAGAAGAAGTCACTGAACAGTTGTGTTTCCAGAGCAGTGTCGCTTCAAGGTACTGATGCAAGATGCAATTTACTCCAGTAGACAGAACTGAGTATCCAAACATTGTAAAGAAGCTGAACTTCCAGTTAGAAAGTTAAGTCGACTCTTAGCAGACAGAGCGCAACTCCTTTTACCCAGCTGAAGAAATGTTCACCAATCGTTTTGACTGGCCATCCTATTCAGAAGAGGTGAAGCAGTGGACCATGCTCCTCGGCATCATGCTGGTTACTGAAGTGACCAAACACACAGAGCTCAATAGAGAAGAGTAGTTTGGAAGGAAACACTGCCACACAAATATGAAATCTGTTAGCTGTCAACAACAACAAAACAAACGGAGGGGCTGGGGTTGTTTCACATGGCAACAGCAACGAGCGTGATCTGGATATGCAGGAAAATAAAACTACACGATATAAATTTCCCTAGTCATTCTATGTATAGCCCCATTCCTCTGTACACGCTCTCGTGTAATGAATGCAAGAAAGCTGAAGGGGCACCAGAGTGGATATGAGTTTCCCTTCCCTTGAAGTGCCTCCACTTTCCTAACACAGCAGCGCTTCTGCTTATCACTGCTCATTAGTGCCCTCTATTGCATCTGATGAAGACTTGTCTGTTTTCTTCGATTTCCTCTGCAGTTGCTCTTGTTCCTTCTTCCGAAGCTTTTCCCTTTGCTTTTCCATTTTCTCTTGAGCTTTGCGAGCTTTCTCCAAGGATGCTTTCATTTCCTTTAGCTTTTTTTTAATGATTGCTCTGTCCTGGGAAGATGTCATACCAAGAGCCTGAGGTGGGGAAAACAAAATTAAAAAAGAAAAGAATTCCATACAGTTTAATCTATCACGATGTTTTTTCACATTCTAGTAATAATTCTTCTTAGGTAGAAGACTACAACAACTAAGCAAATTTGAGACAGACTCAGATACATTACTGATGTGTAAGTAATACACTTCTGTACTACTTTGCATGCCTTCCACTTCTAGAATATTAAAGAATTAGATCTCATTCCTACTACCAGTGTTGATTTCATTCATCAAATGAGGCAAATAAAGATTAAACTATTTGCCTGAAGTCATCTAAGTCTACATAGAACAAGACTGCCCAATTCTCACTGCTATGCCTTAGTCAAAAGTTCACTTGCTCTCTTCTAAAACCCCTAGAGTTAGTGAAACACCAGCAAAAAAATTCAGAAAGGAAACACCAAACTTGGACTTTCAGATCTGCTGAGCTTCCCACAACTCGTTTCTGTAATTGTTTTTGACAAAAGTAGGCTCATATTCTCACTACAAGAAACAATGCGTATTTTATACATCAAACCTGTATTTAGTTCTAACATAGTACAACTGGTATCAGCTTATGCCTCCAGTACCACACTAATCCAATTTTCAGTTGCTACTTCTGATGTATGTCTATTTATTATCTTCTCTGAATCACCCTTTTGCAAAACAGAGCTGGATGAGAAATACGTGCATGCAAATACCACTTATACATGCTGCTATATGATTTACGCATGCAAATATGGGTACATTATATACAGCCAGCGTTTTCACAAAGCAAATGCCCTCTGTTTCTTCTGAAGCTTCTGAATGCAAGTGCATACGGGAATTTCTTAAAGTGTTGCTGTAGCTTTATACTCTGTGTTTATTACTCTAGTCTATCACCACTCCACACACAGGGATTCACTGCTTTCTGGCCGAATTCTTACTTCCTTTAAGATTACCTAAAGTGACAACAAATACCACAGTTAGTCTTGAAGTCCAGTCAGTCAATTACCTTGAGCTTACTCCCATCCAGCTGAAGGAGATGCTCCCCATTAATGTTTTGGGCACTGAATTCGGAAACATACTGTTCAAGGTTCAGGCTCATTAACCAGTGGGAAACCTGCTGCACGCTCCACTCCTGAACAGCACGACTCTGACACTGACTGTGCTTAGGAGACTGTCCGTCGTCAAGGATCTGTGACAAAACCATGCTGCGTTAGTATTAAAAGGGTAATACGGACGAGTAACTGCATTTTTCTGTACAAACTGCCAGCATCAGAGCAGAGGTATCTGTACTATCTTTACGCTACAATAATAACAATTTCACACTGCTATATTACATCTGTATCTAACCAGATATCTAAGAATTGGTACAAGGTACCCAAAAAGTCTTCGATCTATAAATAGAAGAAGGAACTGGCATTCCTTTTAACCCAAACAGGGACTGAAATGGCCAGGTGGCACAATTCAAAACAGGTATGCTCCCATTCCCTCACAAAATTTTTGTCCTTCAAATTAGAACATTTCTAAAAGATGCAATGAACTCTGCATTCCACTTCCCGGGCTCATTCACAGATCTTTATGATGTGTTTAAGATATAAAACAAGAAATTCAGGGGGAAAAAACCCTCAGAAAACCACTCTAAAGTTCAAAGTGATGACATCAAACAGCCAGTGAGACTGATGCTATCTACGGAAGACTATGAGATGACACAGAGGAGCGGTAAGGAACACACAGCGATCCCCCAGCCCTGGCCCTGCTCTCATCACGTTATGCTGCTGCTGCTGCGGAGGAGGAGAGCACAAACACAGCACCAGGAGGGGCAGGTGGGGCATCAGCTGCTGCAGCAGCCCCGTGTCCCTGCCCTGCCACTTTATTCCACCCAGGGATATGCCAGTAGGGCCTGAAACAAAAGCTACTCTGTCCCAGCCATGGTCAGCAAAGCAGCTGCTACAGGCTGCAGCAGCTGTCTGCTTAGAGCAGCTTTTACACTGGGTTAGATGACGCTAGGAGCTGTCTCAGCTTCTGGCTGTCCAGTTCTCAAGGCTGGGGAAAAGACGGTTTAAGCACTATCTTTTCCTTCTCCTATCGCCAGCAGGAGCTCTGTGCAGCTGATGCTTGGCCTGGTGGATTTGCTCTGACACCGACCCTCCTCCCCCTTCCAGCATACTGCAAAAACTGCAATTTGCTATGGCCTTGAAAAATCTTAGCAGAAAGGAGAAGGGAACTCAAGACAAGGAGAGAGGTGCCAGTGACATCTGCGTGTTCGGCTCGAACAAGGGGGTTTGCCATACAACACCGTAAAACAAGAAATGTGAATCTGCAAATGAGACGATACGTTGCCACGCGATGGTCACACGACTCACCACAACAACACACTAGTATCTCACCTCATCATCAATCATATCCAGGCTCTGAGTGAGGGAGCAACAAAGAAATGGGAAAGAAAAGCATTATAGAAACAAAATACAGAACATGTAACAGCATGTAAAAGTTCAGGCAAGGGCAGCACCAAGATTTGCAAACAGATATGGCTACTCGAAACCAAAGAGATTTCTTTAAAAAAAATTATTTCCAGAAGCAGAGAGATTATGTTGAAAGCTCAGCACACACATGATTTGGCAGCTAAACCTGAGACTGCGTCAATGAAACCCCCTTGGAGTTCCTGGTCTTGACACCCTAGAATCGGTGGGAACCTTCCTGATGGCTCCAATTGCAAGAGCAAAAGTTCCTTAATTAGATGAGAACAACCTGCAAGAAATGGGTTCCCCCTCCACCCCTTCATTTTTTTCATCTCCTTCAAATAATCATGTCAGATCTGCCAGAGAAGCCTGAGCAAAGGAGTGCTTGCAGCAATATGCTATGAAAGGCTGAAGAGCAACGCTGGCCTAATCCCCTGCCAGGGTGGTTGTGGAGGTTTCCATTGCAGCTCTTGCTGAACACGCAGCCTGATTCGGAGGCTGCCATTTGGCCACAGCAGAGGATGGAGAAAATAAATTCATTTTTATAGACCTGTTCAGGCTTGACATTTTAGAAATTATAAGAGAGCTGAACAAGCAAAATGAAAGCATTTTCAAGCTTTTAATTCAATGCCACTCAGAACAGGGCATTGTCACAATAAAATACCAAATATAAAGGGAATGAAACGTAGTAAGAGAATGAAATGTATTATCAAGATAGTATTAATGAAGTGTAAATGATGACTTTGTTGTTTTCAGTAATTCATAGAATATACAGACCTGTCTGCACTCTCCTGTGATTCTCATAAATTTTTGCCCTTTATTACCTGCAGTAAGTAGCGTCTAAAGCGTGGTTGGGTTTGTAGGTTTGCATTTTGGCAAATGGCGTTGCACGGAACAGCTCTTGTTCTTTAAACCCATGCGAAGCATGCAGGCAGTAATAGAACAAACCTAACTATCATAAAAAAATAAGACATAGATACTTCAAGTTCCTCCCCTCTAGAAAAAAAACCCCTGGCTCAAACCTCACATGAAAAATGTGAAGTTCTTACGGAGCGTTTGTAAAAGAACAAAGGCACAGGTTTCCTGAGTCCACAGGACACATTGGCAGCTACTGTCAAATTGTGCAATTTCACTGACAAGTGAGTTATAAAACTAGTATCTTAAGAAAAGTATTTTCAATATATTATATTCAGCTCAATTGTGTCACCAATTTACAGGGCTAGGAACGCTTTTTCACATTATCGTTGTTCGAAAAAACTCTGGTTTGAAGTAACTGAATTCAAATCCACTGTGCAAAGCAAGCACAAAGAATGCAAAGTGGATTAACACGTATACATTCTAATCAATATACATACATTCAGGTACAGTAACACACAATTACTGCATCTACAGGCCATTATTATTTTAATGTATCAGGGTAAAAATCAGTCTAGGTGAAGGTGCCTTACATCTCAACTATATTTATCAAACTCTACTGTATGCTTATTACCTCAGAATTGTCTCAATTATGTCGTTTAGTGTATCTCTCTCTCCCCCCCACCTATATCTATATCTATATCTATGTCTATGTCTATGTCTATGTCTATGTCTATGTCTATGTCTATGTCTATATGTGTATCTGTATCTATATCTATATATATCTATAGGTCCACATGTACTTATTTAGAATGTAGGAAAAATGTATTGAAATGTGTGAGGATATAGCATTTCTTAGGAAACGAACTGCATTCTACTTTCCTACAATAATACCATAGGACCTTCACTTCAAGCCATTATATGAACATGAAAAATCACAATCTAGAAACCAAGATTAATTTTCTTCTCCCCTTTTACTGCCTAAAAAATATCCGTCTATGTCTATATGTGTATCTGTATCTGTATCTATATCTATCTATAGGTCCACATGTACTTATTTAGAATGTAGGAAAAATGTATTGAAATGTGTGAGGATATAGCATTTCTTAGGAAACGAACTGCATTCTACTTTCCTACAATAATACCATAGGACCTTCACTTCAAGCCATTATATGAACATGAAAAATCACAATCTAGAAACCAAGATTAATTTTCTTCTCCCCTTTTACTGCCTAAAAAATATCCCTTTGAGTAATTATCCAGCAAAATGCCATGGGAGAAAGAAAACAACCATTTCCCACCTTAAACAATTTCATCAGCATACCTCATCTGACGACAGTGCTAAGGAGTGCGAGAAACCTGGGGTTTTAGGTTCTGCTCCTAAACCACTCAAATCAGCTGAACTTGTGCTGCTGGGACTGAAATCATCGTTGAATGTGAAATTCTGTGGAGGAAAAGATGAGTTAGAATGAACAAATGATCTCATACGTGCATCTAAAAGGGAAATTTGCTTTGTCTTCCAGGTTGGCATAGTTCAGGAGTGATTTCAATCATTTACCAAACCAGTTAGAATACACATGAGGAAGCCTAATTTTTAGTATTGTTAATATTTATAGAATACACAGTATTTTTACCACTGTGTACTTCAAGAGACACCTTTGCCAGCTTAATGCCTCAATGAATAGCAAACAGGTCTGAAAGCAATTTCCAGACTCACTCTTAAGATGCTGGCTCTCATCCTGGAGCTAAATTACTACTTCCGCAGGTTAATCACTAGCATTTTACTGTCCTCCAAATACTTAGGACAAGAGTAGCACAGGCAGTAGCACAAAGAATAGGACAGAGGATTAATTAGCAGAGAGAAGTGAAAACTGCTATTGAAAAAGAGCAAGGAGAATATCCTGTGAATCCATTTCTGAGTCCCAAATAATCTCCTAGAAAAGTGAAAGGATCCTCCCTCTTTGCCTACACCTTTAGAAAAATCTGAAAGTAAAAGAGATCTTTGGATATTGAATGTTATTTACTGAACTAATAACCATAAAACAAACCCTGTTTTTTCTTAATGACAGACATCACACCTTACAGCAAACAATAGCAAAAGCGTGCACATATTTTCCAGGAATACAGCAAAATTACCATCAGGAGAAGACAAAAATTAACAAGTATTTCACATTAGAGTGAGAACCATAAAAAACTAAAATCTATAAAAAATTAAGGACACAATGATATTCCATTTAATTTGAATATACAGTTGATGATATGGAGACCTCTAATCTCTACTCTAATCTAACATCTAAATGAATATCAAATTCAATTCACCTTTGACATTCAATTTAAAAAAATGGATCCAAACATCAGAACCAAAAACAACACTAAAAACATTATCCTTTTATCCCCCCCAAAGATATCTGACCTATCTTTCCTGAAAACAAGAAGTCTTCCAAAAATATCAAGTGTTGGTCCTTTTAGTTTTGCTGGAAATCCAACTAAATATTGGTATTGCGCTATACTTTAAAAACCTGAATAGCAGTGTAGGAACTGTTAATTTAAGGGCTTGCAAACTTTACAGAGAACATAAAAATGTTTTTGTGATCAGTTTTCTCACACCTGCATTTAGAATTCCTGTTCTGCTTTTCCCAGCTCTTTACAGAGGAGAAGAAAATCCAGGCAGCTTCCTTAATATGGAAACTTTTAGCCCCCACAGTGTTCTTAGGCCAGGAGTTCAACAGCTCTACCTCCTGTTGTGTGAAGAAAATCTATATTCTTTTTTTAAGTACTTTGATTTTTCTTTCACCTCTATTCTGTGCAAGCTTCAGCCTTATGATGAATTTAAGACTTTAAAATTTAATTTTCTGTAGGAAAAACACAAGATAGCCAAGGCCTGATAATAATTATGATAGGACAACACTCCCTCCCCCCCGCCCCCAAGCTCAACCTAATACTAACTGTAAAAGGAGGGGTGCTTTTTTCCCCATTTGAAAATTATTTTTATACAATGTTTGTTTAAAGGCACAAATAGGATTTACATGTCTAATCCTCATCTTTCTTTTTCAAAAGAAACTGCGTAACCAATTAATTTCTCTTTAATCTTCAGACATTTCATCTGTGGTCTTCTCTATCAATCTGGACTGGATTTGGACTGGTCAGCCTTGTGTCGCTCTCCCTACCAGGTAACACAAGCACAGCTATGACCTTGCCTAGCTTGGTGCGCAGCAGAAGTAAGGTATCACCAGCTCTTGGCACCAGAAAAGTAAGAAATCCTTGTGGAAACTGCTATTATGTACATGCATGTGTTCACAGAAGACAGAGTAATTAGATTTCTGATTCATATTCCTGTACATAAAGTTGAGAACCGTATCTGTTTCTTTTTACCAGACCAATATAAAAAGTCAACTGCTACAAATTATAGGAAGATACAGGCAGAGAAACATTTTCCAGAAGTGAAAATAAACATGAAAAAGCTACGTATATTACTGTAACTAAGGGTTATTAAGGGAGTTATCATGCTGAAACATTCATGCACATAGAAAGCAATCACACAGATGTATTAAATTGCAATAGTTCATCTTTACACTTCAAGCATCTTCATATAGAGAATTAAATCCAACATCCAGCATGCGTGACAAACAGATTTCATTATTGAGGGAAAAAAGGCAGATGACTGACAGCATACAGCATTTCTTCACTTGCAAACACCTCATTTAAACATAGGTAGGTATTCCCACAATCAGTCCTGAAGAATGCAGAAAATATCTATAATTGAATACACACATCTAGCATTTGTTCAGGGGATCCAAATGCTAATTTCCACTGGCAACACTTGCTTTTGTTATGGTACAGCACACCACAGTTAGTTTACTGAATTAATGTACATTAAGACAGAGTAAAAAGGTAGAATGTGGAATGGTACAATGACAGAGATGTTCTGTTCGGATGAGCTTTTACCGTACAATGAACACCATGCACTGTTTATTGTAGTAGTCACATATTGGCCTGTTCTTTTTCCAGAAACATGAAGCCAAGTATGCCACTCAACACAGTGGGAATAAGGTAGTTTTTATTTTCTACCTTTGACCCTTTTTTAGCTGGACTTATATTTTCAGAGGAAGGTTCAGTTGAGCTGGTAGGCGATGGCAGGTTGCTAGAAGAATTGGATCCCTTGCCACTCTCTCCATACCATGTGAATGGTACACAGTGTGGGAGAGAGGAGGATCGCTCTGCTAAAGATTTAGTATTTGCTGATTTCTGCAGCATCTCTCTGGCAGTCCTGTTTAAAAGAAAGGAGCAGGAATATATGTTAGATTATAAAATAAGAGAAAACAAAATGCTACAGAGGCAGTTAATTGTAAAAAGAGTGACACTCCCTGTAACTGTGACTAAAGAACGGAGTGGCATGCAGCTGCTAGGGGCATGCCTGAAATCTCTCTTTCCGCAAAAGAAGAAAAAAGTGGGTTCTTTTGATTCTTTTTCTAACTCAAGCTCTCTTAGACAACATACCCAGCAAACGGAGAGAGACGCCAGCTGAAAATGCCTGTACTCCCGCTGTTCGGATGCGAACCAGCCCCAGTCAAGAAGCCACATGTTGTGTTGGGGCATTTCTGAGCCCCAGCATGGTTAAACAGATTAGACTCAGCACTGACCCAAGCGGGCTCTGGTTCCCAGAGAAGGTCTGGCTTGGATTTTGAGCACAGGCAGAATCAATCAGGTGCGTCTGTATCCATCTACGGAGATGTGCCTTTGTTACAACAGCTAAATACCGATAGAGTATTATCTTGATTTTAACGTTATTAAGTATTAAAAATATTAGTATAGAAAAATGAAAGAAAGACCTATGTGATATTATCAGCTTCTCTCTTTGTAGCAACAAAGATTGCAGTGACAATGTGATCAAGGCAAAGGTAACAGTTATAAAACAAAATGCCTGAATTATTCACTAAATATATCACGTCAACAGTACAGTATGTAAATTAAAAATAACTGTGCAAAGTGTCTGCCTCAAAGAACTTATGCATATGTCACATTCTCATATTATTTATATGAATGTATATATTACTGTTTCAGAGCATTAAACTTCTACTGCTTTTATCAGCCACCAGTAAATTGCATGGATGTAAATCTCCCCTCAACTTCTAGCTTCTCAACAGCTTCTAAATCATTATTAACATAATCACTAGAGCTTTGTATAATGAGAAGCCTCTTTTCTGTATGGATGAAACTGAGGTTGTCAAAGGGCCCCCACCCATGGAAGCAGAAGAATCCTCCCTCCCTTTAGCTACATAAAGAAAGGCAGATGTATCTGACCCTGTCCTGTACTCCTCCTTCATCCTCTAATCTTGCTTGAAAGTAAAGAAAAAACAAATTATCTTGCCCGAATCACCTAGCTTCAGGCAGGGGATTATATGCTTCTTACTTAAATGGGAAATTTTTTATATAGGTAACATTAGCAGTAGTCTTAGAAAAAGATTCAGGATTTTATTTACACATCGCGAGTGCTATTTTTTGGCAATGGCAACATAATGCATGCAACATCCATGTGACAGCGTTATTAATTCTACATCAATCAGTTGCTGTAATGGACATAATTATAACAGGATGCTGTCTTTTGATCATCATCTTCCTTCTTTCAAAGAGCTTATACAGCTTTGGATTGCAGAGAAAACATCCTCACATTTCTTCTGAGGCAAATTCTTTGCAGTTAGTAACAAAGGAAGTGACAATGGATGTTTAAGAAGTTATACTGAAATAATAACATTCCAGTTTACAGAGGCACAGTGAGAATTACAAATGCTTATGAATTTTGACTTTGAAAGCAGTATTAAACTTTGCTTTTAGTAACTGTATCTGAACTCAGAAATATTAACAAACACCACAAATAACTGATTTATCAAATGCTCTAATAAGCAACTGATCTCTACGCTAAGATCTGCTTTCCCTAAGGAAGATACCTACGGCATCTCACAAACATCTGTAACATACTATGTCAGTATAAGGAGCGTATCAAGTTCTTACAGATAAGTATACGTTCATTTCCCCCACCCTGTGGCTTGGTATTTAAATGCTACATGATGTTTAATACCCTGCTAAGGGCACTAGCAGCCTTACAGCTACACAGAGGTGCCGAGAATTTGCTTTAACAAATCTCTCCCTGTTACTAGGGAAATCCAGCTGTGAGTATCACTACCTCCAGGTCACACTGCACGCAGATGCACCAGTGGAACCAACTGGAACAGGCTGTCTGACACCAGCGCAGAGGCGACGACTGCTGCCTGAGGTCACTGCAGCTCCTGCCAGATATTTGCAGGATGCAATGTACAAATGTATGCTGGGACAGAACACTGCCCTTCAGTACAGCGTGCCTGAGGGAGTAAGTCAGAAGTCTAAGTTTTCTTTTGCTTTTCTTATTTTATTGAGCTACACAATATACTTGTCACTGGGTCTCCATATATTAGACTGTCAGCAAAACTCCACAAATGGCTGCATACTGGTTTTCCACCACGATTTTCTGAGTAGCATTCAAAGTTTGCTTTCTTCTGATAGCTCTTTTATCATGTAGGTTTTCTTTTGCATTGTTTTATGTGCAGAGAGTTTTTGAGTTGCTATCCCCTTTCTAGACTTTTGGAATGTATTAAGTTTGCTTAGCACTCCTGACATTAACTTGTCTTTCATACCTGGAACCAGCTATCACCCCCTGTAGCTGTGATCTCATCAGACTCATCAGTATGTGAGGAGCGACCTTCAGTAAAAATCTACACTAGCTTTTGCAGAAAAGATTGCTTCCTGCCATTTTGAACATTCATTTATTTATTCAGAGTCCAGATGCTGGTGATGTGGTCTCATCAGATCTCACAAGAAATTCTCAATTCTTTCCCTGAGAGCTGGTGATGTGACAAATGTCAGCATTTTTCCTGTTTTCAACTTACGGTGTTCATGTTCAGAAACAAACCCTTCTGAAAGTATTCCTGATGTGGGTGCCGTGAAGCTGCTGTGAACAGCTGCTGCCCATCCTTGCTCTGGGGGGCTTTTTCAAAAAAATACGTGGAATTGTGTCAAGATTTCTGGTTCATAGGTATTATTAACTGACTGTGTGTGCATCTTGTAGGCCAGCTCTGATGACCTATTTCTGCAAATCCCATTAGCAGATGCAACAGTAGTACTGATGCCACGATACTATAAGCCTCCAAGAATTTTTAGATTATATGTTAGTCTTTCATTAGTTAAGAAATCTAGGTTTGTAAGCTCAGAAGGTTATCTCAAAGCTTAACACTTATTTGTACGAAGTTAGTGGGACTGTTAGTGTTCCCGTCTGCTAGGATGATTAGGTTTTTCCAATGTTTCTGGCATATCATTTCTTGCATCCTCAGTCTTTTACCCATACCTACTGCCACAGGTCACCCTAATAGCTTCTTTCTCTTTCCGCTTCTTGCCCTTGTTTGAACTCCTTCGCAAGGGAGCCCTACAAGAATATTAGAAAACATCAGGAAACATCTTTGAAATTTTACTTTCAATCCTTTTAATGAAAAAAATAAGTATTTTAAACAACAAAATGCTTACCCAAGATCTGCAAGTTTTCTCTTTAGTTTTTCTGTATGCCCTATAGTAGGGCTAGTTGTTCTTGCTGCCTGAGCAGATGTGGCACCATCTAGGATATATTTGTACACGGAAGAATGCACATTATTATTTTTAATTGCTACTGATAGCTATTCCACTTCCCAAAGTTTGTGTATCTTTTCATAATTAGATACGCATACATGTACACGTGTGTGAGTACACAATTTAATTAGGTGAATTCTTCCCATTTTTAAGAAGATGGTGTGAAGAGGAATAAAAATAAATAAATACTTTCAGAATTTCAATGTACACATGAAGAAATCTTATTTTAATTGAAGAAAATTAAAAGTTAATTTTGGTTGAGTTTTAATGAATAGGTAGTAAGTCAAACAACACAAAAGATTTACAGGTCAACATTACAGTGAATCCATTTTTAAACTCAGCAGTAACCGCTTAAGTTTCCTTTTACAGGATTTATTTGGTATGTATGCTTTACTTCCAAAATGACTCCTGAAATATTTTCTTGAACTTTGGAGCCAAGGGTACCTTTTATGGTGGACATGCTAGGTAATAGTTATCTGTTTAGTTTGAATATCTTTGTTAAAAGAAACATTTAACTTGAAATCCAACCATTCTGAATTAAAGAGACATCTACCAACTTTTGATCTCTTCTACAAACACTGTTAAAGCTTAAAGAGGAAACCTCCTGCAGTACCTATGAAGCCAAAACAATGAATCTGAGTCTGCAAAACATCCTGTGAAATCTATATGGAAGCTAAAAGGAAACACACAGCAACTGAGAAATTCAGACACAGTTTCTGAGATTCTTAAACATACTCTAGAGGAAGCAAATGAAGGTCATTCATTCATTTCAGTTGTGGTTTGGTGACTTTTACAATGTGACCTCAGATGTACACTGACTTGTAACTGAACACTGCTGGGTTTGCGGATTTCTCCTACCTTAGCTGACATAAATTAAGCCCTCAGAATTAACCCAAAATACCACAGCACTATCACAGGGCAGTCAACTATGTGTACAGAACTTTGTACCTTGCTTTGTGGATAATTATTTGGCCAAGTTTTCATTCAAGTAAAAATATTCAATGTGCAACTGGTTCATAAATCCTGGGAAAGGCAGGAAAATAAGCCTCTTGCAATACCCACAGTCTAAAAGCCATACTATTTCTACCAACACAAGTCCTTAGGTTAAAAAAACAAACATTCAAGAACTGACAAGTAACCTCATGCCAAAAAAAGCAAACAAAAAAAGTTAATATGAAGAATGACAAAAGCAAGGCGAAGTCTCCTGAGAAGAAATCCATTCTTCAAGGGAGGCTGAGGAGAACTTTAGGCAATGCACACTTTGCATCAACACTACACTGTGCACGCTCCTCTCCTGTCTCTTCTTATGGTTCCTCTTTCATCTCTAATGCATACTTCTCATTTAACCACTCTCAAAATGGCCACTTTCAGGAATAAAAGTCATAATGTTTATTTTCACGCTAGCTGTTCAGAGGCAAGTTGGGCTTAGGGGCCAGGGGCAGTGAGCTTTTATGAGACAGTTGTTAATGAAAGTAAATGAAACTATAAGGTACACTGCTTTTGTGGTAGACAAAAAATGAAAGCATTCAGTAGCTAAAGGTTTTGCTGCTGTAGTAGAAGAAATAACCTGGAGAGCTCACCAGGGACACGTAGCAGCTACCTGGTATGGCAAATTTCTGTTCGGGCTCTTGTATCACTATGCTCCCACTCACATGCAGCTTGGCCCAGCCAGGGCCCTCTGAATAATGGCGATTTGCTGGGAAAAACATTCATGCTGGCTATGGGATACAGGGGAAGATGGATGGGCTAGGTCCCAAAACCAGCTTCAGTGGCAGAGCAGGTTTGAATCTACAGGGTCTCGCACACACGGAGGTACACAGTGCTTGGCACATGGCAGTGGCCACGAACAAGGGCTGCAGGTGCCCTGCCTGGGCAGGAGGGGACTTCGACCACCCTGCATGGGTACATCTTCCCTGACTCCTTGTAGCTCTTCAGAGAGGGTGAGGGAGAGCCGGTTCCTCAGAATAAATCACACAGAAGCTGTTTAATCTATCACTTTCAGCTTCAAGGAGCTGGTGTAAGTAATCTGTGGCTGATGGATGTGAAAGGAGACTAGACAGACTAGACCTAGCTTTCTTCCCCAAGGTCTGAGAACAGTTGCAGCCAGCCTCACATCAGTGGAGTAAGGCCCCCAGGGGTCACCTCGGCTGCTTTGTCAAAGGATGCTGTTGCACAAACAGGCAGAACTGAAGAAAATAAATTAATCAATCATACGCATACATGAGAAAGTTGTGCTTAAAAGACAAACAAGCAAAATTCCTCATCATGTTGCAACGAAACTGATCTCATGCCACTTCAGCTCTTCCCACAACACTGCAGGATCTCATAAGGAAAAAAAAAGCATGAGCTTGCCAATGCTCACTTTTGCTAATGAGAGATTAATCAATGGACACACACATGTCCACAGATGTGCTCTCTTTCCATCTCTTTTTTAAAAATCCCTACCTGAGCACACAGAACAAATACAATGGCCCTTTTTATTTTCTGACCTGCAAGAGTTTGACAGCCAAATTAATAATCAATTATCATAGTATCGCTACAACACTTGTTGCCAAACAACTGCTTTAGGATATTTCTTTTTTGTAGGACTTACTAAATGCAAATTTTCCATTTGGAACTAAATTGCTCTGGTTTCATTTTCATATACTCATCAGAATCTGGATACATCCGAAAGCACTGGTTGTTTACTTAACGGTCACAGTGGGGAAAGCATGACACCAATATTTAGACAGAGATATTTTTCAAACATAAAATGGA